CATTCCAAATTCTTAGAGAGCTGTCCAGTGGCATCTTAAATAGCTGAATGAATCCTGGCCCACTTCAGACCTTGCATTCAGACCTGATAGACCTGAAGTGTCAGCTATGCTTGGTGTCTGAAACRAGACTTGCTATGTTTAGTCTTAGAAATCACCTTTTAATATTCTACTAGCTATTCAATAGAATTAGTGTATTCTGGTCAATAATAAAAATATTGTGTCTTGGTTAATCAAACAGGATGAATAAGATCACTTCTTCTGGATAGTTCAACAGAATTGCTAAACATCTGAGATTTAACACTACTCTGTTTTCTTGAGCACTCTTGTCCTCAGCTGGGCATAATTTCTCTTCTGTGCCAAACTGTGTGAAATGATATGGAAGGTATCTGCATCAAAGGAATCAAAGAATCATAGAATCATTTAGAATCATTTAGAGGAAAAAMCCTCTAAAATCATCAAGTCTMAGCTAAAGCTAGCACTGCCAAGTCCATCACTAAACCACATCCTCAAGTGTCACATCTACCTGTCTTTTAAATACCTCCAGTGTTGGTCACTCAATCCTGTGTCAGTCTGTTCCAGTGCTTGAAAACCCTTTTGGGTGAAGAAATGTTTCATAATATCCAATCTAAATCTCCCCTGGTGCAATCTGAGGCCATTTCTACTCAGCCTATTGCTTGTTGCTTGGGAGATGTAGCCCCATATCACTAAAACCCCCTCTCAGGCTGTAGTAGAGAGCCGGATCATCTCCCCAGGCCTCCTTTTCTCCAGGTTAAACACCCCCAGCTCCTTCAGCCATTCCCCATAAAACTGGTTCTCCAGACCTTCAGCAACTTCATTGCCCTTCTCTGGACTCGCTGAAAAGAACGAGTGTTCTACTCCAACTGAGGGGCCCAGAATTGTTTCTGTGAAGGTAACTGTCACAGTTTYCCAGATGCGCAATGACTTCCAGCTCATCTTGGTCGTTGCTCATGTGGCATGCATTGGTGCAGATGTACTTCATTTAGGCTATGGATCCCATCATCTTTTATGTTTTTGGATCTCTGATTTGGATTTCCTATTGRCTTTTGAGATGCTTTAATCAATTAGGAGTTTTCTCTGGAGCCAACTTGGCACATATGTGGGTTGCATTGCTATTACCTTAGGAGATCTAATAGGCAGCTTTTTAAAGAAGTTGATTTTTGCCAAAACTTTGAAGCTGAAAATGAGATTGCTCAGTTATTTCTATTTCAAATATTGAGAAAAACTGGATTAAATATTTAAAGACAGTAATTGCTGAAAAATATGTTTTGTAATGGTGAATTATGTATAATTATTATTCCTAGACTTACTATTTAAAATATTTCTGGAAAGTATTCTAAGTAATGCAGAAGTAAGTGTCAAATATGCATTTAATTTATGTAAAAGAAATGCTGCTGGCACTGACATCCACTTAGGAACAAGTGGTTACTTGACTACTGAGCAAACGTGATACTAATGAATGGAGTATAGTATCACATAATTTTCCTGTGTTCCTACCACAGAAAAAAATGTGAAGGGCTTTGATCCAAAGTAATCATTTTTCATGTTTTCATCCACAAGTTGTACAGTTTCACCGTGCTGTGTGGAAAGACAGCTGGAATTATATACCCTGTGTAAGTAACTACTATACAAGTTTGTATTTAGGAAGTAAATGAAATCAGAAGTATTTGTACTTTTGCTTAAAAGAACCAAAAGTACTTTTTAACTTATCAATGTATCTATGCCCTATATAATCATGACAATTATGCCAATTTAATCAGAATTTTCTGCCCAGTGACATAACTTTCAGTCTTCAGTTGTAACTAATGTGCAGCTAGTACCTAAAGTGAAATTGGAAAGGCAAAACTGCATTCAGCGAAGCACTTTTCCTTATCCATCTGCACAAATTTAGAAAATCACTATACAGGCCAGAGCTGAGAGTTTGATCTCCATTGTTCAATATCTAATTCAAAGTGGAAGAACCTGTATATAGAATAGTGGGAAGATTGATTTTCATTATCCCATCTTATCAAAGAGAAGGTGAGTCTCATTAGACAAGATGCTAAATATCAGTCCTGCAGTGTAAATATCTGAAGTTTTAAACCATTGTGCTCAATTTTGGGTCTGACCTGCTTTATAAGGAGAGAAACTATGTGATGCTACATTCAGGCCTTCTTTATGGTAGCTTACTATGACAGCAGGCAGAAAAAATATAAGAGAGGTTGGATGCTAGAACACTGGCTGTGGTATGATCCAGGAGCAAACAGCAGCTGGTCTCAGTTTTGGAAGTGGGGGGATGAACAGGGAATCAACTAACAACTACAGAAACAATGGTGGGAGAGAAACCCCTACATAGTGATTGCACAAGAAATTAAGTGGTAAAGCTAAAAGATGACAGAAATTAAGAGAGACTTGATGCACCATTTTACATTAAATTAACTTCAGGTAATACTACTTAAAACACACTTTCTTACAAAAAGCTGAACATATGTTCTCTTACCCATTGTATAAYAGTAGGTAAAAAATCCCATTTTCTCTAAGTCATTCCTAATATGTACTGAGGAGATCATGTGTTATGGGACACATTTGGAAAGGTTGGGCTGCAGTATCTGACATTACCAGATACTTCTCTAAGACCTAGCAGAGGGATCATTTCTTTGCCCAGGTTAAAATGTTGGGCTGGGTGAGTGCACTCTTAGACTGCAGGGGTAGTATCCAGAATCCAGCAGAATTAAATCTTGGTTTTTTTAATAAGGAGAGAGATATTATAAATTAGATTTTTTGTTTATAAATGATCCTTTATGTGTCAACTGTTATCTGCTAGGGTGATCAATGCATATGCCACTTTTTTTGCAAGTTTGCTTTGGAGAGCTCTCAACTGCAATTATTTCTATTATTATTATTATTTGCTTCAACAGATTACATATGCAAATTGGGAATGTGAATTTTCAGACTTACTTTTAACACTTGCTTTCATATACATTTAGTGAAGACTAGGTATCTAAAATCAAATTAATCCCCATGTTGGCATGATTATTTAAGGTAGAGAAGAAAGAGGTCTTAATGATAATAGAGAGGAAAGCAATGCTATTTTTAGTGAGAGATCGGATATAAAAGGGAAATAGAAAGGTTAGAGTTAACAGTGATATGTGAGAAAGGCTGACAGGGAAATACAGATATTCTTATGGGGAGACTGAGATATGGTCCAGAAATCTAAGAGAAGTAATTAGAGTTGAGAAAGGGGGTAAAGGGGAAGAGTTCAGCAACCACATATGGCTGATTATAAATGTAGAAAAGGGATACAGAGTTTGCTGAAACTCAGCTGAAAGGTCAGTGTCTGTCAGGAATCCATATAATACCCTTACCCAGGAATAGGAAAAATATCTGAATCTACAAGACGTTATTGTCATGACAGGCTTTTGCTGAGAAGAAAACGGAACACATGATAATACACAATTATTAGAGGTTTCTATAATTGTTTGCCAGAAGTAGAAATGCTTATACAAAAGAGCAAAGAATTGTTCTAAGATTTTTATTATTTTTTCAGAAATGCACCATTCTTTGCAATTTAATACATTCTCAAGCTGAAATAAGGTCCTTTGAATCACAGCTTTAGACAACAGATAAAATTTTATTTTTTTTTATAATAAATTACTGAAACTTTGGAAATTGCAGCTGTAAAATTGGTGATCATGTAATGGAATGTGGGCAGAAAAAAGCATTACAACATCGGGACATGAAAGTATAGATGAGACCAGATATATGTTCAATGAAATGTTTTGATCTCTCCAGAGCTTTTAAGAACTCTGGTGTATTGTGGACTCTTAAACCTGTTTAAAAGTGGCCTATTTTTATTAATTCTTATTAGCCATTAATATTGCTTAATTAAAAAAAATTAAATACCTGAAATTAAATACCTGGTCCATTTGATTTAATTATTTCATCACTCAATTAGAAGGTTGTCCTGTGTTCTTTCCCATTAGTTTTATCTGCAGTGAAAAAAAAAAAGAGAACAAAAAGAAGTTATTAAATAAATTATCAATGATTATTTTCATTTTTTTCAAGGAAGCAAAAATGCTATAATATGAAGAATTATTACTATATGTCATATTTCTAAAATTAAAAATTTCTGAAAGTTCTGAATTGGCCACCTTTAAACTTTTCTACCTGAAAGCAATCTTTTTTACCTCAAAATAATGCAAAATTAAATATATTTTATAATCACAATCTTTTAAGAATATACTCTTAAATATAAAATAAATAATATTTAAAAGAACATAATCTATTCCTCAGGCTAATCTGTTCATGAGCTGCATAAATGATTCCATGCCTGTCTTTTGGCATAGATGTGATAGCTGCTTATGCTTCAAAAAACATGAGAGACATGTTAAAATTCAAGAACATCTGGAGTTGTAACTGAGATCTAAAAACCGAAAAYGAGAATACTGAGAACAGTGCTAACACTGAGCCTTTCAAGATGATACAGCACATATGCAAGATTTCATGCTGGTCTTTCAAATAGAGCTAAGGGAACTGATTTACTATCAACTTCTTCACGGTGAATTAAACAAACATGTCAGCTGACTGCCAACACTCGTACTGTAAACAGCATGTCCCTCTGTATTACAGGTAAGGAGAGCTTAGTCTGTGTAATTTATGGTCTCCTTAGAGTAAAATATTGAAAGAGTACAGAAATCATTGTAAATTCCTGATGAAATGCAAGCATAAGTCTGTTTACTATTGAATGTGATTTACTGCACATGCATGCACTCTCCCTCTCCCAAGCACCTTGTAACTTTTGTACAAGGTACAGAAGTTCTAGGCAAATAACAATAAAAGCTTTTTATTTGGAGGTAGTGCAGAATAACTTGAATATAGAATTATCAGCTTTTAAAAGTTCCTTTTCAGCATATATTTTTACATTTTTTAAGAATATTAAGATTTTAAGATRAAAATTTCAAGATCATAATCAAATATCACTTCAAAACTGAAAATGGTGTAGATCTAGAAGCCACTTCATGTAATATATGCAAAGAAGACCTGTTGTACAGATTGTTTCATGACAGCATGGAGATAAATCACATAGAATCTGTAGAGTCTGTATCTAATACTAATGATAATAATTCCGATATCTGTGTTCTTGTTTATAATACATTTTCATGTCATTATTTTCATGGAAAGTAGAACTGGAGAGCCTGATTATCAGAAAATGTTACCAACTGCTCTCATGTATTATTCTGTGCATCTACATAATTTCGAGAAAGGTTAAATAGTCACTTTGTTCAGACATGAACCTGATTTGTGGTAACTTTTACGAGTCAAGAATTTGCTTTCTCTGAATTTTAGTTTTACTTTGAGACTAGCATAATATATGTCCAAAAGTCTCAGTACTCGGGAAGTTAAGAAACGGGRAAAAAAATGCATTCAAGAAAGTAATTGTTAGTGAATGCTGACGTTTGTGATAAAGTTGAAGCTTCTTGATCATTTGTYTCATTTCTCCACTTCCCATCTTCCCTTCCCTACTCAGATTGACTTTTTCATTTTAGAGTGTGGCACGCTCCCTCAGTAGAAATGAAACTATCTGCTTAGCCACAGTGGGTTTATGAGCTGTTTTCATGAACCCTTTAAAACACTTTAGACATGCGAAGCAATCATTGCTCAGTTTAGTAGGGTTTGGGATTTTTTATTTGCATAGTATTGTAACATGCACTTTTTATAATCTGTATGGAATTACTTGATGGAATGTAGATTTTGTTCTGCTGTCATGTGTGCCCTCCTTCTTTGTAACCACAACTACAATTTTTGTCTGTTAGATACGTACTTCTGTAGGCTCTGTTAGTGGTACCAGATTTGGGTTGTCCTTTTCTTCACTGCCTCTCTTCTGTACTGGGCTGAGATAGAAATTTAAAAGCTTTGCCTACAGCTGTTTTTTTTTTCTCAAGTCTTCATAAAAGTTTGTTTTTAATTGATTTCTTAAGTGGTTTTACGCTTCTTTCAAGCAGTTAAACTAGAGAAGTGGATGCCAGGATTTTTGTTAATACTGAATTAAGTTTTATCATTAATCCCTGGCTGTTATTAATTGACATTGCCAATTTAGACACTTATGATTTGCATGACCACTAATCCTACTGATGGCAAGTGTGAGTTGCTTATAACAGCTAAAGTCGTACATCAGTGTTAAATTGTCATCCAAATTTCTACATCCATATGATTGCTGAACCAATATAGTAATACAGACATTGTTCAGTATTTTTAAATTCAGTCTATTATCCTATTTGGATATTAAATAGCTGTCCTCTTAGGAAGAACACTGAGCAGACCAGGTATACAGTGGGAAGTGGGAACTCCTAAACTATCTCTTATCCTATTAAACTGCCTCAATCCACCATGGGGACTGAGTAATTAAAAGAAACTTACACTCAGTTTCAGGAATTAAAAATCTTACCTTGTTTTAAAATTGCAGATGTTTGATTTCACATTTTCTAAGAGATACTTTTTTAATRAAGAGACTGTGTCAATCCACAGCAGACTGGTATAAGACCTTTCATGTTCCTATTGGAATATACATTTTTCCCCTTCAACATATGTTTGTAGCCATATACATTGATTAAGAGATCTGACTGACAACATAAGAGTAAAACTAATCAAAGCATTTTGAATGATTAAGATGTAAAATTTAAAATGTAGCCTGTTCTAACACTAAATACCAGGCTATAGCACTAAATAAAAAGCGGTGTTAGTATTTCCACTTTGATTCTGATAACCTTGAATAGACTTTATTTAATATTTTTCCTTAGGAATGCCACCAAGACATAAAATAGGAGGTCAATATATTGGAATGTGAGTGGTTGCTGCTGTGCTTTAAACACAGTCCTTGGGCAATTTCAGGATCTCCAATGTTCTCATTGTTATTGATTGGACCTTTTTTGGCTACTTTCAGTCTAGAGACACTCCAGAAATACCACTGGCTCATGAAACCCTCAGAACAAGTCTATTCCAAACGGCACACTAAACAGGTACGAGAAAATGTCTGCAGTCTTCCTTCATAAAAGTGCTTTCTCTTAAATGCCTTTACCCCTGTTAAGACCCTTGAAACTAGAGCAGAATCTGAGCTCCTTTTAAGGCAGATGATTAAACATTCTCACCATTATATAATACGATTTCCATTTTATTTTAAACATACGTTGCATGATATAAAAATATTGATCACAGTGAGCTTTAACAATTGTTACTGCTATAAACAGAAATGCTCGTCAATGGTTTTAGTGGAAATAAATTATATAGTCATTATCTCTTAAAAAAAATCACAGGAAGGAGAACCTAGGCTGTTTGGTCATTGACAGAAAATAAGTCCTTATTGAGTTCTTTACAAAATATGACCCCCAGTTGTTTTCTACATCTGCTTTCCACATCTTGAGAAAAGCACAAGTCTGTCYCTGAAAGCCCCACAGGGTCTCTGGTGAACATTTAATTCCAAATATTAGCAAAGTGTCTCTTGTTCTTTTGGTCTATTGGAAAAATGTACACCAACATAGCAAGTAGTGCTCTCTTCACTAATTCATGAGTGGTCTTTTCCAATATGTAGGTACACAGCGGCACACTTCTTCACTGAAATAAAATCCAGCATCGCAGCGTTTCGTTCGCACTGTACATGGAGGTCTGTAACAACTAAAGGAAGGGAAAGAAAAAGTGGGTATTAATACACCACAATCACTTATATTTAACTGGTACAGAAATCTGTGTGCCTTCACATTGCCATTTCTCAATTTAATTCCTGCAAATACTCATATTTTAACTTTTTATGTTCTTGCAACTGATTTTAGTTGGACTATTCTTCACAAAAGACAATGAAATAATAATGAATGATACCAAAGAAAAATTATTCTACTGCAACACATGGGTATTTTTTACCACATTGCTGGTTGTAGTAGCATTCTAATCTGGAGTAATATTTTTTTAGATTTTATTTTGTAAATAGGATATTTTTCTCTACTCAAATTGGCTTGTTATGACCTACTACAAGCATCAAATTTGAGGAGGTAATCGAAAAAGAGGTGATAATCAAATTTATCAGCTTCCCACTCAGGACTGTTTCTCATCTTATTCACTACAATAAGCCTGAGAAAGGCTTGTCCACATATGTTACACTGTGACTCTGACCACAAAATGAGACCATACTTCAAGCTGAAAATTCCAACAGCCGATTGCTGAGGCCAATGGGAATATATCTACATTCATATTGCATATGTGTGCATTATGGAGAAAAATCAGAGCCTGTTTATCATGTTTCTGATAAATCTTAATGGAAAAAGAACAGAATTAGTGTCTACCTGATTAAAATAAGTTTAACAGAAATATAGCATTGAACCACAAATCTCAACTATGCAGCAACAGAATTTTTCTGCAGCAATTCCTTGACTGAAAAACAGAACTTATACAAAGATAATATCTCTGGTTGTCCCTGAACTCTTCCTTTTCCTATTTTATTTTTCTATTAAAACAAGAACTTGACCTAAAATAACCTTACAATAACAATGCTAAAGACTTTCTCTTGTATAATGGAGACAAAGTACAAGTCTGGGACTTTGTTTTCAGACACTGGCAATGAGTCAAAAGACAGAAGTATATGTCTTGAATTTCAGCATATTTACACTTAAAATTTGTACTTAAATAATGTGTGCCTGTTTGTGAAACACTGATTTTATGATCTATTATGATAACTCCTACATACATACAGAACACTATATTGGACAACGTGGCTGTGCTCTTCCCTAGGTAATGCTTGTTTCAGGCTTGTGGCTATTTATATTGTTTTTGTAGATAATGTTGTGTGCTTGTTTTGGMTACTAAGTTACCACTTTGCAATAATTTGTTCATGATATGAGGTCTTCACTACAGCTGCATTAATTCACACCATATAGTTCAACCAATGAATCTGGCTGTGAGGAAAGCAATAAGGAATGAGGAAGACTGCAAATGTGACATTTATTAACTAGTCACATCTTGCTCAGTGTTTTCAATGTCATCTAACATAGATTAGATCACCACTGTGGTCTCTGTAATTAAGAGAGTAACATTATTTTGTGCAACTTAATAGAGATTTGAAATAAGTTTAGCAGCTCATGGGAATCTCTAAAAGCCCTACTGATCTTACCCCCCAAAAGTTTGGAAACAGTGGTAAAAGGTAACAAAAAGGTTTGGTAAAGGATCTAATATTATAAGTGAATAAAGAGCCAGCAGTAGATCTATTCTTGGAAAAAGGTGCTCCACAGACATGAGTGGATGGAACACTAAACTCACCTTTGTGCTCTCTCTGCCATCAAAGTTCAAACCATTTCATGTACTGAATGACAGTAAAATGAAATAAGATGAGAAGAAAGAGGCAAAGCCCAACACTTCCACACACTTCTGACTGTACACAATGATTTGCATTCATGCACTTTGTTTAGGGTTCATGCCTTCTTGTGAACTTTAACTTGAAGCTCTCCCATGTGAGTTTGTTTCTAGTAGCAGCCAAGGTCAGGTTACTTCAATCTTATCCTTATTTGGGATATTTCAACAGAGCAAGAAAGTCCCTCTCCTGCTCTAAAAGGCTTTGCAGATGAAGTTTCTAGTTATCTGACCCAGCCAAAACTGACCAAAATAAATTTTAGAGGTGATAGCACAGGGTGAAAAGCAGCAGAGTCATTGTAACTACATAAATGTGGTTTCCTTAGGAAACTGCTGAACAATAGACCATGTCTTTCAAAAGGTTTGGTCTGAATGCTGTTTACAGAGTGTTTTCATGTGACAGGTTGGTTTCAATGAGGATAATCTGAGCACGCTGGAGCTAAGATAGATGTCTAGTGTCACATAGTGCTGGGAAAATCAGCAACAACTTTCTCTTTATGGTCAATAATTGTGATTTTTTTTTTCTGCAGAATGCCCAGATTGTCTTACAACTCCACAGATGAAACAAGTGGAAGTAGTACTTCTTGGGCTGATCAACAGCATAATCACCTTAAAAGTGAGTATGCTGAGGGTTTTTTTTTCTTTCCCTCCTGTGTTTTGTAGATGACTTTGTATTCCTTTTCTCTGAAGCAGGGTGTAATGTTAGAGGCAGAGGCATTTTAGGTACAGTGCATAAAAATATTAGTGCCTCGAAACCAAAAGCTACAATGATTACTTATCTCCAYAGGGAGCTGTCTAGGACATGACTACAGGATTATGCCTGTGTCTGGGGCTCACACATCTAGTACAAAGCTATATAAAATGGTACCTCTATTTATGTTTCATAAATGTATATAATTTATATTTATTTATTATATAAATAAAATAGTATAATTCATGTTATTATAAACCACAAAGGGATTTTTCTTTTAGAGATAAAAATAATGTTGCAGGATTTCTATTTCTTTTAGAGAGTTTGTGCTGAACAGAGCCAAAATGTGAGAAATCTATGCTGTCTTTTGTTAAGGAGGAGAGATCGTGCCCTCTATTTTCTTTGACCTCTACAGGATTATTGGTTCTAGAGGTATAAAGTAACACCATATACAAATCTTTCTTTCTCCATGCAAAAACAGAAGAAAAACAGCTTAGAAAAGAGAAATAATCCTATAATCATCTTATACTATTCTGTCCTCAGAAGTGAGAAACTGATTCMAACTCTTTATAGTATTCAGCACCAACACAACAGTGGTTGAATGATACTAAACTCAATTTCTTCCTTCAAATACTAAGTCTTTAAATCAACTGAGATATTTAAATCAACATCAGATATTTATTATGACATTTCTTGTCTTCCTAAGTGSCTGACTTTTCCAGTTGTAAATGTTCTTTTAAAATGTGCATGCATTTATATTTGTAGCACTGCTGGAAGTGAAACCTGGAGCAGTGCAAACGCTTTGCAATATGCAAAGCTTATGTAATCAGGCTGGTTTCTTTTCCTCTTAAAACATAAAATTTAAATTATATGAATTGATTTATAGAGAAGAAGTAATTTCTGATGTTTCTAACAACTCTTTGATTTCACTTAAAAGGCCAAACATTGGAAAATAAGTAATGCCAGTTAATAGTATTTTCCCTTATTTTAGAGACTTCARCACAAGTGTCACCACCTATACGTGACATTTTTTCATTATTCAAGATGAACTAATATATATATATAGCAATATATTTATTTCAACTAATTACATATTATATTAAAATTATATAAGGTTTATTTTTGATAAGCATCAGGTTACTACAATTTGCTGTTTTCATTTCCTGTGCCTGAAATGTTATTTGTCATTCATAAAATAGAAATAATTACCCTATATTAGAAATAAGAGATCTTTCTGCTCCAAATGGCATTGTTTAAGAAATTAAATGTGTTTAAGAAATTTACAAGAGAACTTTAGAGCAAAACTTCCCTCACATAAYATACATCATATACAAAGCAGAAATAATACTGTTTGTTTCTCAGAACCAAAGTCATCCTCTTTTTTGTATATAGACTGCTAATGCTATGGGTGTAGCAGTCAAGGCAGAAAAAGGTCGTGGGGTATATAAAGAAATTGCAGTATTTTCTTYCTGATTAAATCTCATTTTAAATGGTGAATCTTGCCAGACTGTTTTATAGTTACATATGTCTGCTTTTCACAAMAATCACCCAGAGCTAGGTGATTTCAAAATTTAGGAAGTGGGAATGAATGATGGTATCTCCAGAACTAAGCCCTGAAATCTAATTAGTAATATTTGAGTCATTTGAATATGTGAGTTTCTTGAATTGCAATATTCAGTTCTTGGGGGAAAATGGAGTGGGATTTTAATTAGTACAAGAAATAGGGAGCTTGAATTTACTGTTCCTTTTCACCAAAAGGAAAAAAGAGTCCCAGGAAATAGCAGTAAGAGTACTAGAAACTAAACATGTTTTATAATACTTATTATGCCTAGTGGCTTCCTCTTAGAGATTATAGAAGTCATGGAAGATAAAATTGAAGACAGGCTTACTTTTCACTTCAGATTACAAAGCAATTCAACAAGAGAGCTGATGTTACAACCCAAAATTTTATGCCTTAAACATTACAAAATAAATAAAAACTAAGGTTTTACCTGCATGTCTGGTGACGGAATCTTTTTCCTTTCAAGAAGCATTTATTGGGAGATTCTATACATTCACAGATGCATTTTGTAGGGTTTAGTGGCTGATGTCTAGGACAGGTCTTTTTACATACACACTGGCACTTTTCTTCATCAAACTCCTTGTTGGGCCCACAGGAAGCAGGGATAAGTTTGTTTTTGCACATGCACTGACACGATGATCTGTCTAATTCTTTGTGAGGTCCACAGCTCGAGTGCCACATGCCTCCTTTGCAGACACACTGACAGGTTTCTTCATCCAGCTCTTTGTTCGGTCCACAGATATGGAATCCTTCAAATGTGTCTAGAAAAGCAGCAGAGATGCTACACTATTACCATAATTTTGTGTCCATTAACTCACCTATTTTTATGTGAAGAAATGAGCAAATCCATACCTTTTATGGTGTTGCAAAAATAAGCATATGCCAAAAGACCGRCAACAACCAGTAGTAGCATTGATACAGTAAAAGATAAAATAATTACTGCTACTTCTTTATCTTTAAGTGAATCAAAACACAGAACTACATTTAAACCTTCAAGCAAAAGTGCTTACCAGAATCTCCAAGGTGAGAAGAGAAACCAAAATCATGCTGTGACAAACATCTGCAAATTTGATTATTCCAARTATGATTTTTTGGACACGTCTTGTTTGCCACATGACACCTGTGAAATTAAAAATGCTGTTGATTTACTACCATAAGAACTCAATGAGAAAAAAAAATATTTTAGYTGTTGATTGCTTTAACTTTTTTCCATTACAAATACCTTTCTGAGCGTCAGTTCATTCATAATCTTATTTTTTACTCCTGTGAAATCTGTTACTAAAGGTTCTCTCCAATACAAAGATTTTCAACCATTTGTTGAAGAAACCTTCTCACATTTCAAACTTAAGCTCTAACTGCTATAAACTGATATTTATACTTTGCTAATGTAGTTTGGAAACAGACCTAACCCTAGAACATAAGCCTCATATAGAAAAACAGAAGAGTATAAAAATTTTGTATGCCAAATATTGCACAGATGGCAACAGACATCATTTTCTGTGTGGCTTTTTGAAGAACAAAAATTTTTTCAAACTTAAGATGTCAAAAGACAGCAGATAATAGTTTCTGAATGAATAGTTTCTGAATCTCTTTTTTGAAGAGAAAACTTCAAAAAATTAAATCAGTTTATTGGATTCCATTCCACTTTATGCAAACCTTATGTGTAATTAGCAGACACTTTCTCATTAATCACTAGGATTCAGGCCAGCTTTCTTGAACCTAAAAGTTTGGACTTCAGCAGTGATGCCCCTTCACTTTAAAAATAAAGACAATAAACAACACCTTAGTCTTCTTTTTCTGCTACAGTTTCCAGCCAAGGTAGTAGTACCAAAGAAAGCAAAAAAGATCCAAACAGCAGCTGTTGCTGTTTTAAACAATGAGTGAACTGAGCTATCTGGTGAACCACAGCAAATATTTATGGGTATTATCTCATTTTCCTTGCTTGTAACTTCTTTATCACCGCAGCTGACATTGYGTCTCTGAACAAGTCAAGCCTAACTTCATGTATTTGGGCTGTGCCATTTATTCAGTTTCTGCAGTGCTTCTAAAATCCTACTAATCTGTTAAGACAATACCTGTATTACACATGTGATGCACTTTTCATTCTCCTGAGCATCATTACTCACATTACATTCAAAAATGCAGGTGCTGGGACATTCTTCATGATCATCATTCAATTAAACCACTTCCCTTCAACACACTAAATCACTCTGCTTGGAAAGACTGCTGCAGTTAAACTTCACCCTGCTTCACCTCATGCTTTATCAAACTGCTGTTTCCTGATTTCACTCACTCATGATCTCACTCTTGCTGCCTTACTTGGCATAGTCTCCTTTAGCCTGCCTCCTGAATCCTCTCAAGAAATAGCATGGATAATTTACAGACATATTATTGTATGCTGTTAAAAAAACCCAAACCAACCCAAACAAAAACAACAGAACAACACTTCACACCTCTTCTATTGTACAAAGCCACAGAATCTAAACTTAAAGACAGTATATACACATAGAGAAGACTTTTCTACATTCTGATCTGGCACTATGTTGTCTTGCCTTTGTTGAAGTATGATTCCTTACTCCCAGGACAAGCAGCTCCCAGAGTGCCAGTCCAAGTCTGGTATCTATGCTCTCACCACCCTCAACTTCAGGTTCCTGGATAAACTCTTGCGCTGGTAATTACAACTGTTCCTRTTCTAGAAAGACTGAAGAGCTGGAAAGAGTCAACAGAGACTTTATTATTAACTCTTGGGTTTGGATTTTTWWAAAAAAATCTGTTAATTATGTAATTAAATTAATTATTAACAGATTTATTTTCAAGCTGCCTTACTTGATCCATGATCGATGTTTATGATCCATGTTTTGATGAAAAAAAATTAAAAATTGAACTCAAATAGAATATAATCTATATTTAGGAACGTGTCAGCAAACAGCCAGACTTAAACTGAATGAAATCACTGAGGAAAAGACTGAACACCTCTGAGAAATTTGCTCTATTTATGCACCTTATTAAAAATGTCAGTAATTAATTCCAGTTTGGCTTCCAGTTATTGAGTCTTCCTTAAAGCAACTGTTAGTTGATTATGTATTTTTGACCTCCCGAGTATTTGTAATACTTAGTATTTATCATAAAATCATTACTTAGACCTCTAAATTAAAGAAGATCTTCAAGTGTTTTAACAACACTTGTTTTGGTGGCAGATTTCTTCTGTGATATTCTTCATTCAAAATCACACACACACAAAAATCAATATGCTACTTCTGTGGAATGCCTATTAATCCTTCATTTTCCCCTTCCATTGTGTTTTATGTGTGCCTCTTGCATATGAAGATGTCCCAAAAGATTTGTAAGTTAAAGACTCTCAAAAGAATGAGCCTTAAAAAAAAATTAGCATTTTAAATGTGAAAATATAGATTGAGAGAGAAATCTTGTCTCCTACTTATTTGCAAAGGTATTTTTAGCTTTTATTTTAAAAATAAATTAATTTTTCTGATGTTTCCTTTAAGTCTCAATCTGATGTAGGTCTTCCATCAAGCAAATCCCACATCCAGTTTTAAATCATCTCTCTCCAGTTTATTTACTGGTGAAAAGGTAACATTAATTTAGAAACATTCTCTTTGTGTAAAATAATGGCAGCTCCCTTGCAGAATGCATTCTGCTACTACTAATTTACAGTAGTTCACCTATCCTAACTGTGAAAACTTCCCAGCAGTATTTTAAATCTGATTATATAGGCTTGCTCACAACATGGAAGGAAAGACAAATCTCGTACTTACTGAGTTTGTGTGGTTGGCAAGGAACGCCTTATGATGGAATGGACTTGTCTGTAAACATCCAGCTTGGACATGCAGCGGCATAAAGTGTGATTAGCGAAACTRATGGTGATGGGCTTGGGACCGTGAGACAGAGGCACCGTGATCTCAAACAGCTTCAAAAGGCAAAGCAAAGCAAAAAACTTCTTATATAGATCAGTAACAGTACAACCAAAACTAGTATAGAGACATAAAGTACCTATTGGGAATTTCAGCACAGTTTTTTTTCTTGTCTTCCAGCATTCAGCCACATATTCAATTATATTCRTAAATAATTATTATGTGCAAAATAAATAGAAAAGCTGTGGTATGATAATTAACATTTTTAGTATTAAATTCTGTTACGTGCCTCTTTGTCTATTAGAACATTCAACATACAAGAGGAAAATGTAAAAAGAACTCATTTTTCTAGAGGAGTTGACTTCAAATTGGCAATCTTTTAAAAAAATCCAAAATGAAACATTTGGAAGGCTCTTTGAAAAGTTGAAGAACAAGAATAATATAAAGAAGACAGTAAGTTACAACTTAATACATCAATTACACAATTACAAAAGCTTACTTAAAACAGCAATATAGCAGACACTGATACAACCAGTTCTGGTTGAATAACTTTTGAACTACAGAATAACACCTTTTTTAAATTTTTAGTATTTGTATCAGTGCAAGTTATATGCCTACCCTAATGGAATATAACTTGAACTATTAATTTGTTTTCAAARCACTAAGAAATATCCACTACTCATAAAAAATAATCATGTACGTGAATTAATGAAATCCTAATCTTAGTGGGAAATATGGATCAGCTGGTGAAAGAGGACAATGTCAGTGATATCTTGTGGTAAAACTGAACAAATGATAACAGACAAACAATAAGACTCGTTTTGGTTTTCAGTTCAGGACATTTACTTCATTAAATTAAGTAACTTTCTCTGCAAGATTCAAATCTCAATAGTGTCCTGAATACCTGGGACAAATACACTAGGTCAAAGTATTAAAAAATGAAAAAAAAATTGTCACATCCCTTATTTAGGTGTATTTTCTTTTTATTTTCCTCACTAGAATCTAAAACTGCTATATGTTTACTTCTGTAGAAGAAATACAAAAGGAAAAAACAGTTTTCCACATATACTGATGAATATACATAGTATCAGTACATATATAATAGTGGTGTGTATACTGATGAAAAAAACTATCCATCTAGGAAACTACCATGAAAAGAGCCTCTTTTGGTAAGAGACTTCTAACCAAAGCATATTAACATTTGGATTCTTGTTCCAGCTGCAAAATAAGCAGCACTTCTTATTTAATACTGAGAATAGTTCAGTTTAAGCAATCTCTGTCAGACTCATTTCTAAGAAAATCTCTATTCTGCTGTCAGGTAGCAGCATCTCTAAATTCAATGAAGKTGTATAAGAATAGGTGAATAAACTCTTCACATGTATAAGCTGTGTTTGAATATTCATCTAAACAAAGCATTTCAAAGTAGGTAAAACCTAACCGTGAACAATGCTTTATGATTTTGATAACATCTYCAACTTATTTTTTGCATACCTTCCTCATCCAACAGAGCAACAAGCTCTACATCTGCTGTCAGTATAGGGCRTGTCTGGCAACATTTAACAGCCAAATGTTAATACCTACAAAGGATATTTCTATGAAAAATTCATCATAACATACATAGGTATGAGTCTGGTTCTCAATTCTCCTTTTTCTGGCAACATTGTTGGCTAGGGCTACTGTCATTGGTACTAAATGGATAACTCTTCTTATGGCTTATATTTCTGTTTGATCCCTCATTCTCTAAAGGACTGGTTTCTTAGAAGCCCAAATCTTCTCGTCCTTTCCCACTTTAAATCCTAACAAAAAACTGACTAATTCACTCTATAGGCAGAAGGTAATTTTTTCCTACAGGTGCCAATAACTGAAAACAGACATTTCCTAGGTAAATATTTCCTACAGGTGCCAATAACTGAAARCAGACATTCAGGACCAAAGACTCCAAAGAATGAGCTTCCCTGAAGAACATAAGATCTGATAGCAGTAGAGATTATAACTGTTTTTTTTTCAAAGTGGAGAGCTTTCAATGCTCTGAAAAATGTTAGTAATTATAATAAGTAAAACAGCAATTTATGAGTATTGCTCCAGTCAGAGGTAAATAAAAAAATAGACTCAACTTGCCCATGCTGTCCTGTACCTTTTTTGCCACCAACACTGCATTGTTAGGAAACCAGAGGAAATCAGCAACAGAAACAATAAGTGACTGTACTAAATAATGCCAAATAATACTAAAGACTATTACATATAACAAAACAAAACAAAACAAAAAAAAAMCCCACACAAAATCACAAAGTTCTGTCCTCCTCTGAAGAAACTAATAATTATAAATGTAAATCAGTTATATACTGTTATTCTCAGTGTGTAACTCATACTAACAGAAGCTCTGTGCAATTGAAAAACAGTTGAAAGCCATAAGCAATTAATGCATTTCATAAAAATTCAACACCTGCCATTCAACCAGTTTAAGGCTGTTTTGTGGCAGAAAGCCAGAGGGCAGGTCTTCCAGTCTTTCTCATTGTTTCTAGGATTCTCTTCCAATCTGTCCACAACCTAGAACTTAGTAAGATTTTAAACTTAAAAAAAAAGAAAAAAAATCTAACAGAAGATGGGAACCACTGAATGTGTGACCAAAAGCACTATCAGGACTCCTGAAAAAGCAATTTTCCATATATTCCTTCTCACTGATCCTTAGAATCACAGAATGATTTGGGTTGGAAAGGACCTTATAGATCATCTAATTAGAAGCCCTCTGCCATGGGCAGGGATACTTTTCACTAGACCAGGGATACCTTTCACTCAAAGCCCCAAAAGGCTTGTGTGTTTGATTCATGGCATTGAGAGCTTTTTCTTTAGACTAGAAGGACTTTATGCATACTTTCCAGAAAAACTGCGTATTTTTATACAAAGCATTTCTTTGCTTCACTGGCTAAATTAATTTGTTCATCACTGTCATCATATGTGCCAATATCCATTGTATCAGCGCACATAAATAATTTTTATGCTCACTGACTTCTGAAATATAAGAAAACTGTTATTATGTGGGAAGGTCATCATTCCAGATACTTTTCAAATATAGGATTTATGCATGTTTTTTCCCAAGATTTACATTAACTACACTATGTTCTTCTGATGGACTGTGGTCTATTTTGGCGAGTTTCCCTTAAATTGATTGATTGAGTTTAAGTTTCCATCACTTGTGATCTTTGCACTTTCTAAAGTGCCAGTAAGGCCTGCCAAATATAACCAGTGTAATAGAGTACAATGTATCTAAAGGATTTTAGACTGATTTCAAAACTAAACATCTCTATATTTAAATGAATAAAAATAAATTATTTGAAAAATGGTACATCATCATTATTTTACTAACTTCCTTGAAAAACTATTTCAAGGCTTATATGGGATATAAAAACAGGTATTTGCTATAATAAATTGATATTTATTTAATATGCTTGGGTTCCTTACCATTTTTCTATTTTAATCCCTTTCTTTTCCCACAAATATTAACAAGAAAACATTTGGAATTTATTTATCTCACACTATTKCTAGTACCTACTATACAATACAATAATCAGACTCATGGAAAAATGTGTGGGAAAAGGTAGAAGAATGGTAACGTTCAAAGAAAGTGAAAATTCTTGTGGCACATCTCTGAATTGTGGAAAAGACCATACGCACCTCAAACTGGGCAAATAATTACGAGCTGTTAATTTGTTTCCCGTGAKAAAATCTCCTCTAAATCTAATTTTGATCTGCTTGGATAGATATTTTTCCTTAAAGGACTATAACTGCAACTGTGAAACAAGAAGATTTAGGACCTTTACAACAAATGATCTGAAAGAAACCAAAAAATTGTCCATGCTGCCAGCCAAGTGGGAGAATGGGATGAGACAGCTCTTTGACATCTGCTCTCTGCTTCCCTTCAACCTATAAGCAAGTGCCTATAGGTGGGGTATAAAAAAGTGCTGCTGAGGGACAGACTATTGCTGCACCCAGTAGCTGCACAATCTTTGCAACCACTGTTCAATTATTTGTGCCATGGAAATAGAGAACAGCTGTCTGATAATGAATTGGAGAAAAAAAAACAACACAACCACAGAATGAAATTGGTCCCATTTCCCATAGGTCTTTACTAGACAAGCTACCACTTACAAACTGGAATACTGGRGTCAGGAGAAGATGTACTGCATTTTGTGAATTAGCCTAGGGAGCCTTCATATATTGCCATAGACCTTGCACTGTATCTTAATTAAGAAGYTGTCTCATATGTCAACCCTGATTGTACAAATGACCCTTAGCAACTACAAAAAAGGTCTTGGAAATAAAAGGATATTAAAACCAAAGCTATATACTTTTCTACTTTTCTCTCAGTAAAATTAAGTAGCTAGAAAGTAGAAGCACAGCCTGAACTAGAGAACTATTGACCTTGCTCTGGACCACCACTCTGTTCCACAAGGCAATCTGGGAACATCTGACCTGGTCCAGTCTTGGAAATCAATGATTTGCCCCCTATAAAAATAGTTTCTGTGTTTAGTTCTTTTATTTTTAATTATTTATGATGAAAGCTGATATCAGCTTTCTTTATATTTTAATGTCTGGAACCAATGSTAGAGCTTGCTTTCACAGTAAGAACTCCAGCTGAAAAATCAATTTCTCATTAAACACTTTTCCTGCAGGGTGAACAGTATGTTTGCTTATGGAGTTTATGCACAAAATAATTCCTATATCTACTTAAAGCAGAATAATGTAGAATATGTTTCTTCAAAGACAGCTCACAGGCTCAGTGCATAATCTCTGCACGCTCCTACCTGATTGCTAACCCTGAATTTGAAGAACAAAACCTGCACATCAACCTGCAGGAAGAAAACAAATCAGTACATAATGCTAGTATCTATTAATACAGTAAAATGCAGTTCCTGAAAGGCTTTATTTGCTATGTGTATCCTGTCCTACATATCCTACAGCACTCTACACTAATAAAATTACAGACTAGTTCTCCATAGAGTGCTTGCCTCATGCAGGCATATGGTAGATGAAAATTAAAAAAAAATAAGAGAGAAAGAATTAAGTTTCATGGATAATCTCAAAATTGAGAATGGGACACCATTATTTATCTTTATTTCCCTAAAAAATAATTCTTTTGGGGGATAAAGAGTATKAAACACATTTTTTCCAGGCAGTGGTCTCTTCAGCTGTTTTTCCTTTGTATTCTGGAATCAACTATTTCCTTTGTCCTAGCAGTAATAAGAAGGCTTAAAATATGCACGAACATAAATGTATTTACAAGGAGCACGTGAACTGTAATAAAAAAGTGAGAACTTACTGTCTTGCTTATGTAATTTGTGCTGATATTCATACACTGAAGTCCTTCACTATTGCAGCAACCTCCACATCTGTAGATGGATACACATGGGGGTTTAAAGAAGGTGTTTGTAGTTGCTCCAAACTCTTTTCCCACATCCACACACACTTCACGTGGCATGCACTGAGTTTTTCTCCATTCAGTATCAATACCTGCCAAGTTACAGGGAATTTAATATGTTATAAAGTAACCGTTTAAAACCAAAACTGTTCTGCAGTCCATTAGGATTGCATTCTTAAACTTCAAAACCAGAATATGAATTGCTAGAGCCACACCCTTTAGTCGGTGAAATAAACCTCTCTATGTTACCTTCCAGCTGATTTTTCTTTTTCATTTTCATGTGACATATTGTCATGGAGTAGAAGAAAAGTCACAGTGGAGTTAAAAAGGAACCTAACAGGCAGGGATGGGAGACCTTAAAGCGTAGCATCATAACCTGGTTTGTGTTGGAAAGGACCTTTAAATATCACCTGTCACCTAATCCAACCCCCTTGTTGGAGGAGGGGCATCTTCAAGCAGACAGTTTTCTCAGAGCCCCATCCAAACTTGAATGGCCACAACTGTTTCTGGGAATCCAGCACCTCTCTGGAGAATCAGTTCCAGTAGTTCACCATCCCAACCATTTTTTTTTTTTTTCATTTTACCTAGTCTGAATAAACTTTCTTTAGTTTAAAATKATTACCATTTTCCTATCACAACCTGCTAAAACATGTCTTCTCATCTTTCTTATAGACACCCTTTAGGTTCTGGAAGGCTCCTATAAGGACTCCTGAGAGTCTTCTCCAGGCTGAGCAGTCCCAGCTCTCTCAGTCTGTCTTTACAAAAGAGGTGCTCCAGCCCTCTGAACATATTCACACTCCTCCTCTGGACCGGGTCAAACAGGTCCATGTCCTTCTTAGCGGACCCTGAGCTGGACACAGCACTACTGATGGGGTCTACACTAGAACAAAGGGAGGTGCAGAATCACCTTCCTACATCTGTTGACCAGCAGTTAAAGCTGCACATGTGTTTTCTCCTTTGCCTAGGGCAAGTCTCATCTTGAGTAAAGTCTGCACTTTAGTATTAAACACTTCTACAAAGAAATTTTAACTGCCCCCACACAGTACCTCAGTTGGATATGATATATTAGACAACTGAAAGTTTATACACTCAATGTGAAATAAATTTAAACACATGTTTAGTTTGTTAACTGGAAGGGTACAATTTAAAGCAAAAGTTYACTATTTAGCAATTATGTACAACATGTGATTTAATCTGATGGATGATATTTGTGCCCAGATTATCCACACAAATTTGGGCAAAGACTTTGTATCAYGCTATACAGCCTTTTACCAAATACAATCTTACACTAAGCTCCAAGACTTGCAGCTGTACAGGTTCACTTTATTCCCTTTTGGCACCAGATTTTGGTAAACTGATCAACAAAAATGGAATTTTTGCCTTATGTGTACTTTAAGGTCTCCATTAAGGTACACGATCTCCAATGTCATGTCAAAAATACACCTCCTGCTACAAATCCTGCATTTCTCTGCCTGCAAGCACTTGCTTAAACTGTGAGACAATATATTTTTATCCAACCTATCTGAAACACTGAAAGGTATTCAAACACATTGGTTTGAAAGCTGTTTTTCTTGTTTTAGCATAAGATCATGACAACAGTCTTCTTGTAACAGGAAAAAGTTACAAGTGCATCATTTGGCATTCCAAAGCCATAATGCATAAGAGAAGAAAGCATTGCCAGCCATGATGCAATTGCAGAAAAGTAGAAGAAACAGTTCAATGAGTCCGACTATTAGCGTCCTCTTTGCTTCCTGCAAAATTGTTACAGGCTCTACAAAGTGGGATTCCTCATACCTGAAGACAAGCACTTCATTTTCTGTCTACTGAGCTGAGAAAGTAAGTTTCTTACAATGGACATACCTAAAATATGTCCACAGAGAGATTTATTTCATTGTGAAAGGCTGACCATCAAAGATTTTATTTTATCTACAACACATCCTATCAAACTGCTTAGGTTGGTTTACTGACAATGCTTAGCTTTAAAAATACTTTTGACAAAACTAAAAAGCCTTAAGATTTTAAATCATTGTGTGTTGGAATGTGGATTGTGTCTACTTACTTTTCAGGATCTCTGCATTATAGTGAGCTGCAGCAAATTTCAGGGAATCATCTGATCTTGTGTCAAAGCTGGAGTGTTCCCTGTTGTGTTGCCAACCTCCTCTCCTCAACTGACATTTGAACATTTTCCAGTATTCTGGGTAAAGCACTGTCATGAGTTCATCCACACTGGACACTGACCGCAACTGCTCTTCCAGGTCTTTGTTTGCATGAGCCTGTCAGAGTAACACGCAAGATKAATTATTTTATTACACAAGGATTACTGGAAACTAGCCTGATAAGCATCTCATACATTGTAAAAAAAAGTTGTGCTCAAAGGGGTCCTCATTATAAAAACTACTTCTGTCACTCAATGTCAACAGCACTATATTGACAAATAATGAAATGTTTTGCTTCTTCCACCACTTCTCTATCAACCTTGTAGTTCAAAACATCTGTGGGAGAAATGAGCTATAGAATTAAACCTATACAAACACTGTTTGCGGATTATTTTATAAAAGTCATTTTTATCCTGGAAAGATAAGATTTTGTGATAAAATTTTGAATGCTTAAACCTCAAAATATTTAAGTGATGTTCATGTTCTTTAATATCACATACTCTTAAAATAACCAAATTTTTGTCATCTTCCACTAGTCCTGGAAAATCGAAACATCCAGAAATGCAAAACCAATTAAACAAACAAACAAAAAAAAGAAAATAAGGAAAAACAACTAATTAATATTATTTAGTACCTTTATAGGGAAAATCTTAATAAGCAAATTCTATTACACTGCCCTAATCCTTAAAACAGCAGGAGATGAGGACTTTGGTACCTTGAAGAATCTAAGCCTCACAGTCCCTTGCTGTTTCAGGAGTAGCCTCAAATCCTGTAATCTTTCTCTCTTACTCACTGGCCTTTACACAAACCCATTGCAATTGCAGTCTTCTAAATGACTGAGATTTGCATTCTAATTTATCGCTTATCTGGAAGATTTCTCTGTTTCTCCTAGCTGAAACATATTGCATCAAAGGACTGGTGTTATCCCCTGCCCACCTTTATCATCCAYGAACTGCTGACTTCTCAAAAAGAAGGGCAGCATGGAGAACGAAGGGTGTTCAAGAACCTTTAGCCACCTTGCCAGCCTACATGGCCCTTAGATGGCAGTATGAGACACAAAATATTTAGGTACACTGTACAAAGTGCATCGACTGCCTATAGATTCTACAGTTTGCTACAAGACTGTTGCTCTAGTCAGAAAAACACCAGGCTGTCAGAGTGTAAAACATGTCTAAATGCAGAAATATGAGACTAGATAAACTGAAATTTAAAAGCTCTTATCTGACTCCCCTATGAATAAAAAACTCCTTCAGTTCAATGATTTTGAATATTACGTGAGTAAAACAGGTAGTTCAGAACTAGCTCACCTGAACCAAAACTGCTCCTTGTCTCACCAACAACTACAAGGGTAAAAAATGGCACCCCCTTCCTTATCTGGTATCAAATACAGCAGAAACACTTCAGGATAAGGCAAATTCACAGAACTAATTTCTGTAAATACAGTTGTATAAGGAACTGTGAAGGTGCTGAGGCACTGCAACAGGTTGCCCAGAGAAGTTGTGGATGCCCCATTGCTAGAATTGTTCAAGGGCAGGCTGGAAGTAGCTCTGAGCAACCTGATGTAGTGAAAGATGTACCTGTCCATGGCAGGGGAGCTGGAGCTAGATGCTCTTTAAGGTCCCTTCCCAACTCAGGCCATTCCATGATTCTATGGTTCTGATACCCATTTGAAATTAATTTTATATAACAAAGTGTTCTGAAGTTAAAAAAGTGTTTTCACTTAAGCCTTGCTAACCACATAGTCCTTGCAGATGACTTTGTCCTGGGAGGTTTCAACAACCAAGCTTTTGTCTCAGAAATGTGCCCACACAGGTCTTAATCTCTTTCCTTGCCACCATAGGAATGGCCAACCTGATCCAAGCCATTCATCAAGCAGTTGCCAAGGAGTTTGTCTTCAAATTTAATAATAAGACAGAGAATTTCACTCCCCATTACCCCTGCTCTCTTTGCAGGATGGCACTCAGGATGCCAATCAGCGGGTCACAGACAAAAATCCAAGCTTAACAAACAACTAATTTGGCTACTGGCTGCTTACACCTCCTGAGAAGTGAGAAGTGTGGGGTTTGAGTAGTCTCAAACTGTTGAGTAGTCTCCCTGTTTGCYGAGGGTACTGCAGCACATGGCCCTCGAGTAATGGGAAGCAAGTTGCTGCACCAGCACAATGCCAGCGTTTCAGATGCACATCTTCCACGTGATGGGAATATGCGTGGCACAGCGTGTATATCCTGTCACAAGGCTGGAAGTCAGTCTATTATGTAAAGGCACAGGAATAAAACCTGTGGTTAAACATCCAGTAGCTGATCCTTGGAAGTCCTAGGAGATCATGGGGGTAACATGGAAAGAGAATTCAACCAAAGCTTCCCTCCCCTTGACTCCTTAAAAGACTGTGCAGCCCATAGCAGACAAAATGCTGGCTAGTGCTGTTGCAGATACGCAAAGTACAGGCCTAGAGCATAAGAAAAATAAGTACTGAAAGCCAATATTACTTTGTTGATAAGAAATTTGGCACGGAGCAGGAAAAAGAGAAATTGTTAGAAATAACACAGGCTGATGAATTCCTCTTTGGTCAGGCAATCAAGTCATGTCTTTTCAGCTGAACACTATTTTTATACATGTATTAAATATTCATGAATAAAACTTAAAATATTAAAAAAATAATGGCTTCAATTAAGCATTGTATCAAATGTAATGAAGTATGGTTTTACCCTGAATATTCCATGTGCCATAGTGCCATGTGCCTACAACCTGAGACAAGGCAGCCCTGGTTATGTGTATAGATTAGGAGAGGCTGGGAAGCAGCACTGTGGAATGGGATCTGGGGGACCTGGGAGTGTCCAGTTGAACCTGAGTCATTGTGCCCTGGCAGCCAGGAGGGGMAACCCTGTACTAGGGAGCACCAGACACAGCATCACCAGCTGGGCAACGGAGGGAATTGTGCCACTCTGCTCTGAGCTGGGGCAGCCTCACCTCGAGTGCTAGGGGCAGTTCTGGGTGCCACACTATAAAAAAATACATCAGGATATTTGAGTGTCCAAAGCAGGGTCACAAGGTTGGTGAAGGATGTGGCTGAGGACACTTGGTTTGTTCAGCCTAAAAGGAGATTGAGGGGAGATGTCACTGTGGTCTTCAACACCCTCACGAGGGGAAGCAGAGGGGCAGACACTGATCTCAATGTGAGACCAGTGACAACTTGAGGACATGAGGCTGAGTTGGGGAAGGTTAAGGTTGGATATGAGTTTTTCACCCAGAGGGTGGTTGGACATCACTGAGCCTCTGTGAGTTCAAGAAGTGTTTGGACAAGGTTCTTGGGCACCTGGTGTGATTCTTGGGGCTGTCCTGTGTAGACCCAGGAGCTGGACTGCAATGATCCTGATGGGTCACTTCCAACTCAGCTTATTCTATGATTTTGTGGAGTACTCAATAGGAACAAAAGGAAAACAATTTCTGGAGCATATATATAAAATTACTTAAAAAACCCCATCGTTATTGCATCTGAATTATTTTCCACTTAGTTTAATAAAGCCATTTGCCTGTAAAGATGGCTTGAATTCAAATTTACACTGAGGAAAACTTTTTTTCTTTCCCATCTTCCAATTTAGAAAGAAAATGAGAAGGAAATACATATATCTTTACTAAATACACGACAAGTAGTGCTCAGAGTAAGGGAACAAAAAAAAGAATTGAAAAAAATACATTGTTTTTTCAATATGCTTAGAGTGTTATCTTTACATATAGAGCAACGATCTCTTCCTGTACATCTATGTATTTTTTAACTGCAGCAAATTGCTCTCATCTGTGAAAAACTGTTTAGAGGAATGTTTATTTAAGGAGTTTGTGATTTAATTTTGTAGAACAGCCAAACATTTTGTTGAAATGAACATCAAGCAAAATCTTAAGTTCCAGATGATTACAAGACTGTGTCCTGCATAGGGGATAAGCACCAGATCATTAAGGGTTATTAGAAAGAGTTTCTAAATTTCTAAGTGGTGAATGACTCTGCTTCTGTAAACATAATAGTTGTCTGCSAACATCTTTGACTTTGTGCAAATTTTGGTAATCTCACAAAAATACAATGTGTTGGTCCATATCTTAGTTATGCATTGGTGTGTAGAGCAGGACACTGGATTTCCACTGAAAACAATGTTGAGCCTAAAACATCTATTTAGAGTATATGACATACAAAGAAAGTAACATCAACAAAAATGTACTAGAGATCAGAGGAGCTCTTATTTTTCATTCATCTTATGCAAGTGCAGATTAGTGAAGTTAAGAAAAAAAATATGATTTGTAGCTGCAATTACTGTCACCAAGCTAGTTATATCCAAATGTTAAGTTCAAAGGGAGGGAAAAGAAAAAAGTAATGCAACATTAACATAGGTTGTGATAAGAGAAATTCTATGACTTTTAGGACTGAGGAAAGGTTTTTGATAAATGTAAACAGTCAGTTGATTTTCATATAAATAYGGTGTGCTCCTGATGAAATAATGGACAAACTGCTTAATGTTTTACTAGTAATGCATTTTGGGATCTATGTTCCACATTGAGAAGGAAGCAGGAAATAGTGCCAAGAGTAATTGCACAGGAGGGAGTTTTCTCTATCCCATGCTATTTTCTTTGCATTTTCAAGTCAGTTAAGGGATTGGGTTTTAAATTTTTTTTTAAACACCACCACCCCCTTCATAAGTGTTTCCCTCTCCTTTAGTTGACCATTCTACTGTTCTTGCCATTTTTACCAATTATCAGTGTTGTCCTGCATGAACACCATAAAATGATAGGTCTATTCTAAAGAAAGACACGGACTAAACCTTTGACTAACGAAACTCTACAAGATGATAGGTGATATCAACTAAAGTAACCACTTAAAAATACAAGAATGAATGAAGAATACAACAAAGATAGATTTCTCCATTTCATTTATTGAATATTTTTCATGAGCAACAAGGGAAATGAGAAATACACCCACAAATGAAGAAGTAAAGCTTGATGACAAGCACTCTCTTACTATTMCTTATTTAACTTCAGAGCATTTTGTTCTATCTTTTCACAATGTGGCTTTCCATTACATAGTATGTCCAATTTTTCATAAAATTATGGCTTGCAAGGGAAAGGGCAGGATA